AGTTTGGCAAGACTAAAGTCCATAACATTACATGTCCTTTCTATGGCCACCCTCACCCTCCAGCTTCATGTCCTTGCCCACTTAAACGGGCATGAAGCAGCCTCGATGCACTCATCGGCCACCTCCGTGCCGCCTTCGGGGAGAACGGTGGAAAGTTCGGAGGCCAACACTTTTGGTGTTCTCTAAGGGAGGTGAGGGACACACAGTCAGGCAGAGGAATTGCTTACGAAAAGAAGAAACGCAAGAAGGCACAGCATAAACAAGAAACTCAAGTGATGTTCGAGGAATTAGATTGTAATAGTGTGAATTCAGTTGTGGGATTCAATGAAAATCTTGTCATAGCAGGTTCATCTGATGCTATAAAGTCCATGATTCCTTCATCCGTTCTGATACCTTCAAGTTGAAATTTTAGCAGCGAGCTAGCTATCAGTATTTGATATGAAACTGAAAGTGATGGTATGAAGCCTAGAATTGAAAGAAGGTTTTCTTTTAATCTTCTAACAATGACAAATTGAGCAGGTTAATCAACAAATTGTCAATTACTCTTAACCCAGAAAACCACAAGTTACCTAAAGCATCTCGATAAAGAATGGTTCACATCGTGATCAAAATCAAATCGTGATCAAAGTTTATCATGCTATCAAATCGGCAAGGGTTCTATAATTGTTAAAGCTACTCGATAAAGAATGGTTCGCATCCATTAGAAGTGGCCTTAAATTTTTGGTCCAGCCACTTGAGACAGGCACTTACCATTAAAAACTAATTGTAGAGCTTTTATGCAAGTGGAGGTAAGAACTTCTACAAGACTAATGCAAAGATTTCAAGTTCAATTTATATTTTGTTTCAGGAGTGTGAGAAAAATTGTCAATTCTTCAAATTGAACTGAAATTGTAATTTTGAAATCGTTGGTTTGGATTCACGAGGATTAGGTTTCTATCATTTTAAAATTGAACCAAACCATTTGAAAATAGTTCGGTTTACATTTTGATAGTAAAAATCCATTTGAAATCAAATTGAACCGATAAAAAAAATTGTTTTATTATATATTATTTATTATATCAATTTATACTTCAACATCTAATCCGCTCTTTAGAAAAATAATAATTTATTTTTAGTTTTCAAACTTAAATTTTATGATTGAAAACTGTATTAATTTATTGATTTAATCTTGTATTGAGACAAATATATTAGTATTGTAACTTTTATGCTTAGAAAGTTTCAATCGAAGTGTTATAGTGAATTTTCGAACCAATATTTTGAAACCAAACAAACGGCAAAATGTATTTTGAAGAGTAAATAGTTTGGATTTTTTCCAAACTGTTTAAAACAATTTGATTTGAAAAGAGTTCAAAAATCTTTCAAACAAAACTATGTCCACAATTTCATTACTATCATGTCGCGGAGCACACGTGCGCTTGTAGGTTTTAGTAGACATCGGTATTATTGTAGAACATTATAATTCATAAGACAATTGTAGGAGGAGTACTCTTAACAAAAATTTCTTTTGGGAGAAGAGTAAATCCTCATATTAATGTCCCAACAACATCAACTCAAAAGAACATTTGAGGTGCCCTTAACTCTACACCCTAAAAATACGAATAATATCCACTGGGCAATTTGAAGATCAAAATTCACTAGGAAAGACCAGAATACACATTGTGACATTTTATTAATAATTCACAATCCTCTAGTTAGTGATTACAATAAGGAGATTTTCTAAGGATAAGATATGGTTTAGCAAAGGAATATCCAAGAATACATAAGAGAATAAAAGCCAGAAACACAATAATTTTCACATTTCTTATGTGCTAAAATCGTGCCAGTGAAAGCCTTAAGCTCTACTGTATCCAATTCTATTTGTTCATTTCATTTCAAAAATTCATTATTTTTACTACTGATGCATCATGCACCATTAATTTACCCTATGGTTGACCAATTCGATGAATAGTAGCTATTAAGGAAAACAACTAAACAAATTGACATGCCTTGCACCTTCATTTGGAGCTGCACTGGAGAGCATCTTGAAGACAGCACGACCTCATATGTCTAATGAATCTGGCTCATGGGCATGAATCCATCTGATCTGTTGTATTGTTTAGAACCACCAAATGTGATTCGAAAGTGTATGCTAACCTTTTTCTTGCTTTTCCATTGACTGGGAATCAAGAAATAGAGAAAGTGGTTTTGAATTGCCTTTTAAGATGGTTTTAGAGCATTAATCAGTTCCCAAACTTTGATGTACAGAAACACCAAAAGTCATCGTCATGCTAAAATTCAGGTACCTTGTCCAAAGATCATAATGGAGCTTGTAGAAAAAAGAAAATAACTCTATAAAGAACCAAAGTAACTTATTGGTACTTCAGAAGATTGCTACAAAAAGAAAAACAAACTCATCTTGGTTCATGTTGATCTGCTTAAGCCATAATAAATCCAACAGTTGCTTACTGGTAAACTAGCTGATGCTGAATTAGTTCTCAGAATCAATTGGCTTCTGCTGGTAAAGACACTGTATCAGCCAGTTGCTGACTTAGAGAGTACAGTTGCGGAACGTATCCTTCCTTTTGGAGCTCCAGAAGAAGATTCTTTAATACTAGATAGATCTGAGCAGACTGTGGATGACTTGTATCTGCAGCAACAAACATATGGGTGATGTTATTCAACTCAATCCAGCTAAAACCGGGTATTTTTTGTACTCCTCTTTCTTTCATAGTATTCCGGATTTGATGAACCCTCTGCCAATTTCCAGAATCAGCCTGCAAATTTGATAATAATATATAGTACCCAGAATTTTGAGGGTCCAAGTGAAGTAAATGTTCTGAAGCCATTTCAGCAAGCTCCACATTACCATGAACACGGCAAGCCCCAAGTAATGTCCCCCAAATGCCTGCATCTGGAGTAAATGGCATATTTTCTATCACTTGGAATGCATCTTCTATACGACCAGCTCGCCCAAACATATCGATCAAGCATGCATAATGCTCCATTCGAGCTGCAATCCCATAGTCTTGAATCATGCAATTGAAGTAATGCTTTCCTTCTTCAACTTGACCAGCATGACCACAGGCAGATATTATGGCAAGAAAAGTGACATGATCAGGGTGGAATCCAACTTCTTTCATTTCATGAAATAGAGCCAGAGTCTCTGTAAGTAGACCGTGGTTTCCATAAGCAGAAATTATGCTATTCCAAGAAACTTCATTTTTGTACTCCATCGTGTCAAAAACTTCTTGTGCCAAATTCAAATTGCCACATTTAGCGTACATGTCTATTAGCGCACTCTCGGCAAAAATATCGGAGCTGATTGCATTGCGCGTCAGGTAACCATGGATTTCTTTCCCATAATGAAGAGCTGGTAAGTTTGCGCATGCAGAAAGAGCAGCTGATATGCTGACACAGTCATACTTGGCTCCTTCCATACCCATGCAGCGGAAAAGATCAATGGCCTGTTCTGGCTTGCCATTCTGGCTACAGCTTGTAATAATTGAGTTCCAGCATACAGAATCTCTTTCAGACATCCTTGTAAAAACTTGATGACCAAGATCTAACCTTCCGCATTTAGCATACATATCGGTTAGTGCAGTTCCCACGTAACATCTTTGTTCAAGCCCATTTCTAAGGATGTTACCATGCAACTCCTTGCCCAATTTCAAGACGGCCAAACCTGCACAAGCTGGTAAAACACTGGCTAAGGTAACAGCATTGGGCCTCAATTTCTTATGAAGCATCCATTTCAAAATTTCCAAGGCGTCAAGATTCATCCCATTGAGCACAAACCCTGAAATCATAGAAGTGCAAATAACCATGTCTACTGCAGAGCCCCAGTGAAATACCTTGCAAGCCATTTCCATATTCTTGCACTTGAAGTACATATCAATAAGAGCATTTTTCAGAAAAACATCCAGAGTCACACCGTGTCTTATGATATAACCATGGATTTCCTCTCCTTGAGTGAAATTCTCAGAGTGAGAAACTGATGGAAGCAAACTTGCAAAAGTAACGGAGTCCGGTTTGACACCTAATGATATCATATTACGAAATAAATCCAAAGCCTCGTCCATATACCCATTCTGAACATATCCTCCAATCATCCCATTCCAAGTCACACGATCAGCTTGTTTTACTGAATCAAATAACTTCCGCGCATCAAACAAGCAACGGCATTTCGCATACATGGTGACCAGAGTGTTAGTCACCAGAGTATCCATATCCAGCCCACATCTAACAATTAACCCATGAATCTGAGTACCAAATCCAACCGTTGCCTCTGACCCACAAACAGAAAGAATGCATGCATAAGTCACGGAATTAGGCCTAACTACACTATTCCTCATTTCCACAAACAAACCAATCACGTTATCCACCGGATTCCCACATTTTACAAAACCATTAAGCATTACATTCCACAAAACACTATCCCTCAGAGGCAATTTATCAAACAAACGATGTGCAGTTTCTATACATTCATTATCTGCATAGAACTTGACCAGAGCACTACCAACGTATACATCCTTCTCAAAGCCTAAATCTTTAATCAAGCCATGTATATATGTCACTAACTTAACAGAACGCAAGCCTCCACAAGCCTTAATTACGTAAGGAAAAGTATACTTATCGGGCCAAGTACCAAAATCCAACATCTTAAAATAGAATAAAATTGCAAAATCAAAATAACCGGCCATGGTAAAACATCTAATCATCCAATTCCAAGGAGCAGCATAGCATAAATTAAGCTGAAAAAACAATTCCTTGGCATCAAAATATTTGTTACACAAAATGTACATGCCCAAAATTCTCGTGCCCAGAATGCCGACTTTCTGGAGTCCATTTACGGTAATCTGGGCGTGAATCTGCTGCGCTTGATAAAACACAGAAGGAGAAAGAGAAGGGTCTCTTTGTAGAACCGGTGCAAGATTAGATGCTAAAACCTCCAAAGTGAACGGAGAATGGAAAGGGTGTTTCGATTGGGCTGTGTGGATTAAATTGGACTTGGTACTCAAAGCAGTAATAACTTGTGAAAAAATTCCTGGAACTGAAGTTGGATTTCTCTTATACATTTACAGACAAGAATCATTTGTTCATTATCCCAAATTCAGTGATTGCAGTGTCTTGAATCCTTCGTTTGCGCGGGGTATTGGACTGCCCTTATTCCCACGGTTGGTTATATGGACCTAATTACCTTTGGGTTAAATTTAACAGTCTTGCTATATGTATCATTTTCACATTTTGGGTTACACTAGCTCACCACCTCCCTCACATGGAGGTTGGGTCCCACGCATTTATTGGATGTGGGATCCGACCTCCATGTGAGGGAGGAGGTGTGGTCGGATAATTCAAAGTGGTTAAGTAGCATATTTCAAGTATTACTATACTTTAAAAAAAAAAAAAAGTCGTTACTAATAACATTAAAAATACTTGAATTTTATTTCTTTCATCCCTCAAATTTAAATTCAAATCTCAATTTGACACATGAGGTCTTTAGCGACAATTTTTCTACTGCACTCTTCGATTGAATTTCGTGTTCCATATTTAAATCACGGATATACAGCATCTGAAATTCTGTCAGAAAATTTTCGTCAATGAAAAAATTATTTTACTATGTTCAACTCTATGTATTCCTCTATTCATAGAGTACATTGACAAAGAAAGAAATTCAAAACATAAAAAGATTCTCTCTCAGTTTCTATACATGACCCCAAGCCTCAACCCGTGTCGTCTTCAAGAAATAAAACATAATATTAATTAAATAATATATTCAAAACATATAAAGATTCTCTCTCAGTTTCTATACATGACTCCAAGACTCAAGCCGTGTCTTCTTCTAGAAATATAACATAATATTATTTAAATAATTTACAAGAACTAAGTATACAAAACTCTTGCAGTTCTCATTTCAGCTTTTCCAGACTCTGTTGTTGTGCACAAGCCCTGGCGATAAACTTGTACATGATTCTGGTAAGCATCCGTAATTTTCCTATGTTTGCTCATGGAAATTCCTTGCTTGACTCGAATAAATCTCAAGTAGGCATCAGTTTTAACTTGATTGCAGAAACAAGTGAAAATTGTTAATCTCCTTGCTGAAAGAAAGTATAATCTGAGCTGGATTCGTTCTTCATAACCTGCACAAATTGTTGTGACATTTCCATGGTTAAATGCATCAGGGAGGAAATTTCCCTTTCACGAAACATGTGAAATGATTGACATATCTACAGGACAGTGAATCAGTGATCCTATACTAACTGTCTGCAGAACAAAGGTGTTCAATGTTACCATAAACCTTGCAACAGTAGACAAACATACTTGCCAAGACCAAATTAATAAGTTGATAAAAGAACCCTTTTTGACTGGACAAATTGATCAACTGTTGCTAGGGAGCAGATCTGTACATGAAATTTTGACGAGGATCATAAGTATAACTAATAGATAATTTCATGAAAAAATTATGTAACAAAGCATATATTGCTCAAGACCAGGGGGAAGACCATCTTAAGTAACCAAGTATTTTATATGGTCTTTCAAATTTATCAAAATTTGCACCAAGTTTCCAGATCATAAACAAAAAATCCAACAAACTGGAATGGCTCAGTGGCTTTGTGATGATCACTGGATGTAACTACAACTCCTCCAGTCTTCTATCCCACATCATTGAGTTTATGTATAAAGTTTTTATTTTTAGTTATGTTCGTCCAGTGATAAGTACATGAGTGTAAGCGTATTGAAAGAGAATTGTAACCCCAACAAAATAAATCATCAGGAAAAGAGACAAACCTCAGTTGTGTGTGAAGATCCAGTAGGAAGGACAGAAACAAGAGAACTCCAAAGAACAGGATCTGACAAGGGATCAATAGTATTATAATTCGTAAGAAGTGGTGCAGACAAAAGAGGAGCTAGTGGATATGCATTTCTATGCATAGATAATCCTCCAGCCATCCCAGATGCAACTCCAAGTCTCTCATTTCCACCATCATGCCATGATTTCTCAACCGACTTCCCAAGGTCGATTTTCTTTATGCTACTTTTGTTTTCATTCTCGTCATTTTCATCCTTTTCCTTCTTTTTAAGTGCATTCTCTTGCAGGCTTTTATATGCAGCTGACTGTGACAAAATGCTCATAGCAGACACTGTTTTGTGCTTTTTTCCTTCCAGAGGCAAGCCTAGACAGGGCATCTCATAGGGTTCAGTGGGCTTGTTTGACCTCTCTAGAGCTTTAAGCTCACTACCAATGTCCTCTGGACAGCCATGTTTTGTTCCGTCTAATGATTTTGCATGAGAATCAGTCTGACTGGATTTGTTTGCTCCCCACCATTTGATGTAACTTGACAAATCAATCTTCCTGTCTATGCAGAAACCACCTGCATACTCACTTTCTATGCTTCTCTCGTCACCGGAACCTTTAGAAGTAAAGAAAAACAGCAGAAAAATGCTCAAAATGTCATAAACAGAAACACGGTATGTGATATAGTTATATTCTCGATGTTCTAACTATACTTACCATAGAGTGTGTTGTTGAAGTAAGCAGCTTCAGGCATACGACCAAATTGTGAATCCCAACGACTAAGACACAGTGAAAATTGATGTGAACACAAGGCAAATAATATTACGAACAATGGAAAAATTCAGGCTTATAATAAAAGTTGAAGCATAAAGAAACTAAAACCAGCATTTCCAGATAAGGGTGTGTGTGTGGATGGTAACTAACCCACATCCATGCCTTGTACAGCTATCTCCATGTATAAAAGAACAATGAACGTACAAAATCATACCTGGCGAGGGGGCGGTATTTGGAGATACCCCTTGAGAAACCACTACTCTTTCTGCACAAGAAATGCTTCATAAGAAATAGCAAACATCAATTCATGGTATATACCCAAAGTATAAACTCACCTTCGAAGTGATGCAAGATAATCCTCTCTTGAGACGTTTTGCATCTCTTCAAGGTCTCTTGTATAATCTTTCACCTGCAGACCCCAATTAGCTTTATTGATACATGCAAATAAAACCAACGGGGATGACTACAAATTAAAAGGGCTAACCTCCGAATAATTTCAGTTAACCTGTCAGATTATAAATCAAACTTAAAACACAAAGATCAGAGGCACTTGTGATTGTTACAGAGTGAAATTTTAATCTGCAATGTCTTACAGGAAAGTTTATGAGCGTTCCAGGGCCCCAATATTTTAGAGCAGCAAGATCATAAGCTCTCGCTGCAGCTTCCTCGTCGTCATAAGCCCCTAGAGCCATTGATATAGTGAAATATCAATACAAAGTCAAAATGCCGTTGTCATTTATGTGTTCCAAGAAATATGCCGATCAGACTACTCACCCAAGTAAACTGTTCAGGTATGTCAGGCACCATCAGAGATCCAATTTCAGCACATAAATATAGGGAAAAAATTATCAAGCATCAGAATCAATTAGATGGTTTAGTAGGCATTTTAACAAGAATCAGCTATACAATTGCACGCTTACATAGGAAAGAGACTAACCTTGTTTTCCCTTCTTGTTTTGGCTTTGATTCCAGGTACTTTTATCCCAAAGATGAGCTTCATAACGACCGGTCCATCTATGCCTGGCATCAATAGCAAAACTCACTCTTTCTGAAAGACTTGTCCAGTGAATCTTATAGATAAACCGATCTAAGAAAAATATTCAACACAAACAGATAAAAGAAAATTGAAGAAAATAATAATGCTCTTAAGGAACAAATTCTGGGCATGAGAATAAAAACAAGACGAAAGTATCTTACGTAGTACCTTATTATAGAATTCCCCGTGTTCACGGTGATATGAGAAGAATTTCTTCGCAGTACAAATTAAACTTACATACTTTAAATAAGTAATTAGATCATAAACCTGAATATATCCAAACTCAATTGACTCTTCCAATTACTTATAGAGTAAATAAATTACAACATCGCATCAAGGCAAGATATTGAAGTACGAAGTAGATCACTTATTACATAGTATACCTAGTGACACCACGATAAACGGAGCTTCGCTTTCCAGCGGTGCAAGGGGGCATTTTACTGATGCGCTCTTTCGCAGTACAACCTCTCTCTTTCTTCGCTTTCTTCAGGCCTCTATACAGTAAAAGTTTATCAGTGTCTAAGGGGAACGCCGCCGCTTCCGAGCTTTCTCCACCTCCTCTGCTGCCGCCACCATATTCTTCAGGTTTAGTAGGTTCAGAAGAAGAGGAAGCCATGGCTAAAGCTTTTGAAACCCTAGAAGAGAACTCAAAGTGATTGAGTATGTGTTTGTGTGTGTGCTGATGGATTTTTCCTTTGACGTGGAAATCTACAGAGAGTGGGAGGGAGAAATTGGAAATGACGGATGTGTCCTAAATTGCATTCGGGTCTTCAAACGGGTTACAACGGCTATGAATATATGAGGGCAATTTTGTACTTTTGCCACTTTTTGAAACTGTAGCCATTTGTGAGTCTCAAACCGAGCATGTGGCAGTCGACAAAACTTGTCCGATTGTTATTCTTATTGGATTTCAGGCATCATGACGGCGTCGTTTACTTTCAAACTCACTTTGTGCCACTTTTTCATTTGTCCTTGTATCGAGTACCTTAAACTCCCATTTGTTCTCTACTTTCCAGCTGTTTGGCCGGCTGCACTATCTAGTCAAAAGAAAATGGATAAATCTATTTATACATAATCCTCCCTACTGAATTGTTTACCCCCTCTCACATGCACGCGGGTCCTGCGTGAATAAAAAAATCTCAAGATGTGGTTCTCACCCCCCTATTGTGAGTAGTATGTAAGGAATTATGTAAAAAAAATTCGGTAAATGTAACATGATCCAAAGAAAATAATCTCCACTCTCTTTAAATCCCGTTTGGTTGAGCTAAAAAAGTTACTCAAAATTAAGTCAAGGTGAACAGTTATCCACTAATTTTATCTACTTTTTAATCAATATATTTCAACAACTTTTTATCAAAATTTATTAAAACTTTGATTTTTAACAAAACCAAACGGGGGCTAATCATGCACAATTAAAATCCAATGTAATCGTTATAGATTCTCCTAAGGTTGCAATCAATTAAAGACCGACTAACATTGCAAATTTGATTATATGAAGTTCAATTAAGTCCTTAATTGTATTGGATTTCAATTTCAATGAATAGAGACAGTTTTCTCAGCTCATTAGAAAAAGAGAATCACCACTTCATGTCAAGAGCGTTGATGGGTATGGTTGGAGATTGGTTTAATAAAGTTGATTTTCATCAATTTGCACCAATTGTTCGAGGATTCGTTAGTTGAATACAATAGCTAGGCCGAAGTGCGCTATTTGGAGAGTAAATTATCTTAATAAAACTAATTGTTTGAAATCAATTTTGGACGAATGAGAAATTAAATGTCTAAAGTGTTGTGCTTGGGGACATGAGATCTGAATGCAACCCTTCAAGAAACACCAGAAAGAGTGTCTCGAAAATGTTAAGATAAGTTATGAAACACGCCTCAAGGAGAGGAACCCAAAAAAGGATGGCCTGGTTTGCACCTGCCCAGAAATCGAGTGCTCGCCATTTTCAGGTTGATCTTTGACATCGGTAAGAATAGAATGGTTGCTAGGGTTGATCCGCTGGTCAACATGGATCAGATTACCAGGGTTACCGTCCTAGTAAATCTTGCCCTTGTGGTTGTTGCAGAGGTCGATGATCTTACGTTGGTGGTCTTATTAATGGCTATGGGATGGAAGGAAGTTCCCACATTTATGGCCTTTTCTCTGATACTGATGTAGCTTATGAAATTGTTCTGTCTGATATGCAGTTGGTTAGAGCTACAAAGAATAATGAATACTCTGACCTTTTTCATGCTATTCCATGGTCTCAGGGGACACTCAGACTCCTTGTTCCTGCTGAGATTAAGCTTATACATATTAGGAACACATGAAACTTACAAGACTGTAGTGAGCAATCTGAAAGACCTTGCAAAAGACCGGGGATGGAGATCGGGACAACCCTGAAAAGGTTCCCGACTTCGTTGAAACCATGATTTACTCTCCTGCAGAAGCTGTTTGCATGACGGGAAGTTATGCTTCTAAAGAGGAAGCTAAAAAGAAGGGTAATAAAATTAATTTTGTTGGTTGGATTCAATCCCTGGTTTTACCAGCATGCTGAGATGGCACTGAAGGGGGAGTTTGTGGGGGTAGATTCCCACCGAAGAATATTATCACGGAGGTGCATATACTGAGAAGGGAAGCTCAAGGTGAAGCCTTCAGGAATTTTACCATGAAATGCATGTCATTCAGGATATGCTTGTTCCCCTTTACAAGTTGGAGATGCTCTGGAGTGGTTTGACTGTGAGATGGAGGTATAGTTTTATTTGTTTCTGTAGTGTACATATGACTTAGCTCATGATGCTAATTTAATAATTTTTCTTTTTGACAATCGACGTGCACGTGTATTACAAGTATGCTATTACAGAGAAGAATGTTGAGAGAAACTTTATTCAACTCAATTGAAACAATACAGGAAGAGTTCAAATGTATAAATACAACTCAAGAAGTAAAATAGCGGGAAAATGAAAAAGGCGAGAAAGTTAGTTCACAACTAAAATAACAAACTAAACTATTTAATGTTCCACATGAGCTTGACAGCTAAGATGAACTAGATCTAGTTAGATAATTCACTGGCTTTGATACTCCCCCTCAAGATGAGCTATGGATATTAGTAATAGCCATCTTGGACAGCAAATGATGTAATGCGGTTGTAGGTAATGGCTTAGTGAAAATATTTGCAAGTTGATGATTTGTTCGGATTGGTAGCAGTTTGATAACTCCATCATTGATTTTGTCTCTTACAAAATGAGAGTCTATCTCTATATGTTTGGTACGTTCGTGGAAGATGGGGTTGGTAGCAATGTGAACGGCTGCCTGGTTATCACAAAAGATTAAAGCAGGTTTCTTGATATCCACATGAAAGTTACAAAGTAGTTGTTGTACCCATATCAATTCACTGGCAGTCGAGGCCAAAGCACGGTACTCAACTTCTGCAGATGATCTGGATATGGTGTTCTGTTTCTTCACCTTCCAAGATACCATCGAATCCCCAAGGAAAACACAGAAACCAGTGACTGATTTTCTCGAGTCTAAGCAAGAACCCCAATCAGCATCAGCATACGCACACAATTGTAAAGATGAACCAGCAAAAAATAGAAGTCCCTGGCCTGGAGTAGCTTTGATGTATTGTAGTAAATGATGCACAACATTTAAATGAGGCTTTTGAGGCTGTGAAATGAACTGACTCAGTTTATGAACTGCAAAAGTAATGTCCGGCCTAGACACTGTTAAGTAGAGCAATCGCCTAATCAACCTTCTATACATAGAACTATCTTCTAATAGCTCCCCCTCAAAGGAGTTCAGCCAAACTTTGGGTCCATGGGCACAACACCAGGCTTGCAGCCAAGGAATCCAATGTCCTCTAGTAACTGAAGGGCATAATGTTGTTAGGATAGAACAATCCCACTATGTGATCGAGCAATCTCCAATCCAAGAAATTTTTTTAGCTTGCCAAGATCTTTAAGTTTGAATTGGTCGTGAAGAAATGCCTTTAATCATCAATGATACAAGAGTTCGATCCTGTGATAACTATGTCATCGACATACACCAGTAGGGCAACAAAATTATCCCCAAAACCTCTAGTAAAAAGGGAATAATCACACTTAGATTGGTGGAATCCATGTAATATAAGAGCATGAGAAAAATTCGAAAACTACTGTCTCGAAGCCTGTTTTAAGCCATAAATTGATTTATGTAACCTGCAAACCAAACGCTCCCCCTGTCTGCTAGACAAATTAGAAATGGTATAGCCTAAAGACAAGTCTATATAAATTTCCTCAAACAGATCCCCATGAAGAAATGTGTTATTTACATCCAACTGAATGATGTGCCATTTGTTTATTGCTGCTATAGCTAACAACAGCTTCACAGTCACCATCTTAGTCACTAGAGGGAAGGTTTCCAAGAAATCGAGCCCCTCTTGTTGTGTAAAACCTTTTGCAACAAGGCGTGCCTTGTGTCGTTCAACACTCCCATTAGATTTGTACTTGGTTTTAAAAACCCACTTGCAGCCTATAGTGTGCTTTCCTTGAGTTAAAGTGGTAATGGACCAGGTTTTGTTTAGCTCCATAGCACCTAGTTCTGCAGCCATTGCATCTGTCCAATGAGCTTCCTTCACAGCCTGATGATAATATTGTAGATCAATGTTTGATGATATGTTTAAGGTAAAGTTTTTATGTAACGAGAAAGCTTAGAATTGGAAAGATAGTAGCTTAATGGGTAATGATGAGATGATGAAAGAGTGAGGGATGAGGAATTGGACAAGAGATTACAATGGAATTCTTGCAAGTATGAAGGAGTTTTGCCAGTTCTTAGAGATCTCCTGAGAGCTGGAGCAGTGAGAGCAGTAGAAATATGATTAGTAGGATCAGTAAGATTTTGTAAAGTGATAGGAGGATGATGATTGGATGTAGGAATATTAGTAGAGCCAATGCTTGGTGAAGGCATATCAGCAGTACTAGATATGTCATGGAGAGGAATAGAATAGGAATCATTGGCAGTATGAGATTTATCAGGGGGTATGACAGTGATAGGATTAGGCAAAACAAGGTTAGGAAATGAATCAATGACCTTAGGGGTCTTGGAGATAGAGTGGAAGGGAAAGATGTGTTCATGGAAAATCACATCTCTAGAAATGAAAATGTGTTTGGAAAGAATGTCATATAATCGATACCCTTTAATGCCAGGGTGATAGCCAATAAAAACGCAAGCCTTAGCTCTAGGATGAAATTTTAAACGATGAGAGGTGATGGTGGAAGCAAAACATAAACAGCTAAACACCTTAAGGAAATTATAATCAACATATGACTGGTATAACAAGAAAAAAGGTGTTTTGTTCTGAAGAATTGATAAAAGAGTTCGATTTATCAGGTAAGTGGCAATCAAGACACAATCACCCCAAAATGAAATTGGAACTTGTGATTCGAAATATAAGGCCCTTGCTACATTTAGCAAATGCTGGTGCTTCCTTTCAACAACTGAGTTCTTGATGCAGCGAAAGATTATAGGAAAGACAAAAATCTACAGGAAAAGAATTTCAATGAAGAGAAATTCAAGAAAACTTTATTTCATTCAAAATTGGGTTCCCTCAAAGGGTTTACAACGTTTAAATAGCGAAAAACCTAAGAAAATTCGGAAAAATTACATAATAATGAGAAAATATTATTTTTTCCAAAAATGGAAAAAATTGAGATGATGACGGATCTTGATTCTCCTAATTACCAGGATCATTCCTCAACAAACGGAAATTAAATTCGAGTTTATTTGACTAAGATATTACCAAAACAAAAATTATCATAAACGGCAAAAACGCTTAATTGAAGGCCTAAACGACGGAATTTGCCCAAAATCCGACGTGCTTCAGGGCCAATGCCCTAAGTTGTGATCATTGGCCCTTTTTCCATCTAATTAGATTAGCAATTCACCAAAAACGGACAAACCCGAAATTAAATGAAATTATTATTTTGCATTCACCAGTTCTGCTCAGGACATTCAAGACAAGAAAATTGGTGTAACACCCCCTTTTGATTGAAAAATTCTGTAAATCTCAATTCAGGTGCATTATCAGACCTAAATGCTCTAATATTTTTATGGAATTGTGTTTCAACAAGGCTGAAAAACCTGGGAATGATTTCATGCACATCAAACTTCTGTTTCAACAGATAAACCCAAGTAAACCTTGTACAATCATCAACTAATGTTAGAAAATATTTATAACCTTCACAAGTTGGAGAGCTATATGGACCCCAAACATCACAATGGATGAGGTTAAAGCTGTTGGGAGACATGTGATTATTTGAAGCAAAAGATAAACGCCTTTGTTTAGCCAATGGACAAATATAGCAAAGATTAATACCACTTTTCTCACTTTTGAACTTTAACTGATCCTTCAAAGTTTCCAACATTTTAAAAGATAAATGTCCCAATCTATGGTGCCAAACATGAGAGGTCGCCTTATTTATTACAGAACATACATGACTGTTAACAACAGCAAACAAATTATAATCATTTTTCATTACATCAAATCCTGCTTCAATGATGTAAAGTCCATCAACAACATCAGCCCTACCAATCGTCTTCCAACTGCAATGATCTTGAATGGCACAATAGTCAGTGAAGAACCTGACACTTATATTTGAATCCTTGGTCAAAGAGCTAATTGATAGGAGATTAAACTTGAACTAAGGGACAAATAATACATTTTGAAGAGTTAATTTAGGATTGAGGTCAACACTCCCAGTAAAATGCACAGGTATCCTGATATGATTTGGTAATATGATATAGGCATATCTTATTACCCTAAGTGTTTTGAATAAAGCACGATTAAAATAAACATGACTGGTTGCCCTAGAATCCACAACCCAATGTCCGCAGAATTGAATAGCTTATTTTTTGAAATAGACAAACATGTACCTGATACATGGTCTGAATTGGAACTCTCATCTCCTACCTTTGAAGCAACAAGATGTGTACTCAACATGTTCATCAAATGTTTGTACTGATCAGGATTTAAAGTTTGTACAAAATTTCCAACATTGCCAACAAATTGGCCTGAAATTGAATCAGAAACTTGGTTAGCTACATCATTTGATTTATAACCAGTTTGATTACCAGAACTAGCCCTCTGCTTTGCTTTGTATCCAGGTGGATAGCCATGGAGTTTGTAACATTTATCAACTCCATGACCTCTATAGCCACAGTAGGTGCAAATAGGCTCATCTCTCCTCTGAATTTTGTTGTAAGACTGCCCCAGGATTGGCTTTCTATCATCATTTTTGGCATAGAAGGCCAAGGAATCAGTAGATCCAGTAGTCGAATTTATCCCCCTCTGATGTTCCTCTTGAGTGATAAGAGAGAACTTTATTAATTGTTGGAATGGGATCCATAAGCAATATATGACCCCTAATTTGAGAATAAGACTCATTCAGCCCCATTAAGAAGGACATAACATACTCCATGTGGTAGTGTTCCACCAATTTTTTTATTTCCTTCACAAACACATTTTCCACATGAACATGAGGGCCTATAATTGTTAAGTTCTTCCCAAACCGTTTTCAGCTTAGTAGTAAACACTAACTGACATTTGTCCCTGCGTATGATTCATTAACTCACGCCTCAGTTGAAAGATTCGAGGGCCATTTTTCTGCTGAAATCATTCCTTAAGGTCAATCCAGATTTCATGAGCAGATTCAGAGTAGATTATACTAGCTGAAATCTCCTTTGACACAGAATTAAGAATCCACGAGATAACCATGTTGTTATTGCGGATCCATGAGTTGAGAAGTTCAGCACTATCTTCAGGTCTGGAGATGGATCCGTCTATGAAACCTACCTTATTCTTCACCGATAAGGCTATAAACATAGAACGACTCCATGATGTATAGTTTTCACCAGTCAATTGCTGTGAAACCAGAACGAGACCAGGATTATCAGAATGATGGAGGAAATAAGGCTTGGAGCCATCTTCAACGGCGGAATTACTCATCGAAGATCGTTGGCCATGATCAATCAGTAGAGAAAAAGAAAAAAAATCAATGGAAGATCAATTTGCGAAGCTAGAAGCAAAATTGCTCTGATACTATATTACAGAGAAGAAAAATGTTGAGAGAAACTCTATTCAACTCAATTGAAACAATATAGGAAGAGTTCAAATGTATAAATACAACCCAAGAAGTAAAATAGCTGGAAAATGAAAAAGGGAAAGTTAGTTCACAACTAAAATAACAAACTAAACTATCTAATGTTCCACACGAGCTTGATAGCTAAGATGAGCCAAGATCAGCTAGATAATTCATTGGCTTTGATATATGCTAATTGTTCAATATTCCCCTAGATAGATCCCATTTGGCTCTGCTCACACAGACTATACAAACTTCCCCAGAAAACTATGGTATATCCCAAACCAGGATTTGAGCTACACCACAGGCAAGGTGACGCCAAGTATGCTCGTATGTACACTGATGTTGGAGTCTATTATGCTCCCGGACTGATCCTTCGGGGCGAGCTATTTGATGAAGTAGAGACTGTCTGCCAAATTGAAAACCATGGATTCCAGCCACAATATGCTGTGCCTGAACTGACCGAAAAGAATTCCTGGAGAGTGTATGATGCTTGTCTTTATGAGCACCGAAGGAGGAAGTATGGAGCCGCTGGTACCTTCATGAGTGTGTACTATAAGTCGAAGCAAGGTAAGAAGACAAAGAAGGAGGTGCAGGAAGCTGAGCAGGCAGTTCTTGATAGTTCATATGCCGAAGTTGATCGGCCTGCCAATTGTTGAGTGTTCTAGAAAATTTTCATTAGGATTCTGTCTTTTTCCATTTACCGCCTTTTAGTCCATATGCCCAAGTAATCAAATTCTGTAGTTTGCTCATTTATTAATATTTCCTTTAGCAATCTTGACTCATATATTAAAATTGCTCGGCCATCTCTCTCTTAGAGCTTGTCTGGAGCAGCTTTTCAGGGAAGAAAAATCAATTTTTAGACCGTTGCAAGCCAAAACCAGCCATCTTTGTTGACTTTTGCTCTTACATTGGGTCCCACTTGACATTTAAACGGTCAAAAAAGTGCTAATAATTGAGGAGAAAAAGCTCCATCGGACGCCAGCTTACACACAGATATCCTGATTTTAATAATCAGGTTGGTCCCAACACACACCATTGAGTGACCGATCGAGGTTGTAGTAGAGATGGTGGTTAAAATGAGGTGGTGGTGGTGGTGTGGCAGCACGTCGAAGGTATAATTGATAATTAGATAAATATTTCAGTTAATATTACTTGTGTTTTAGTTTAAAAGTGCGGACAAATTGCAATTCTGGTGACTGCAAAAGGAGTATTCTGTCGGTTGTTAGAAAGTGAACGTTAGACATTTGAACGTTAATTGTACCGTTAGAGCTTTCTTTTAAATACCCACAGATCCCCAAACTTCAAGATAGGCAGATTCAGAATACTCTCTCACTCTCTCTCTCTCTCTCTCTCTCTCTCTCTTACACACACAAAAATACAGGTGTTTTGAGAAATTGAAATTTACAATTAAGAAGATGGGTATGGTTATTGTTATATCTCTGCCATTGATTCTCTTTTCAATATGTCTCGGTTTTGGGTGTTATTTTCTTGGTAGAGCCAAAGGTAGACAAGAAGTCTACACCAATGCCCAGGTTTTTGGTGCGCCTGCGCCACCGCCAGGTAGCTTTGCTGGAGCTGGAGCCGATTCTCATACTTCTCCTCCGCCACCCCAGTTCAAGAAAGACAATTCCGACAATGTTTAAGGCTGATCGAACACTTCTGCAAGGATAAGCCCATTTTTGCGATTGAATTATGTAGAGAATTAGTGGGTATTGAGAGATTTGTTTTGAAGGATTTGTGTATTATTTGTGTTTCAATCGAGGATATATAGAGTGGTGAGTGTGTGTATATTGTGTGTCCAACTTGTATGTTTAATTCATTTACTGAAATAAAATTCTACTTCTTTTTGCATTATACATTTTCCTAAGGAAACGCCAGTTCACTAAAGAAACAGCACAAACTTGAAATGCATCTCTTATTCATATCACAAGTTTATGTGCTGTGTAGTGTGATTACAAAAGTTCGTTAAAGCATCAATTTAGATGACAACGGCATGAAATTAAATAATAGATTCAGTTAAATGTAATATCAAATCATTCCTTCAATTGAACATATCAAGTAGTTAGCTAAGTAACATTATTCTTTTAGGTGAAGAACTGGGATCCATGACTTAGTCAACATGATAAAATTCTACATCGAATAAAGATGAAAACATAGACTAATTTATTAGGGTTCGTACTACTCCTTTTGATAATGTTGACATTTTATGATGGAATCCAAAGTTTTAATATGGTGTCAGAGTTCATTAAATTCCAACGAGCAATTCAATCCAATTAAAAGATGAAAACATAGACTATTATTAGGGTTCGTACTACTCCTTTTGATAATGTTGACATTTTATGATGGAATCCAAAGTTTTAATATGGTGTCAGAGTTCATTAAATTCCAACGAGCAATTCAATCCAATTAAAACTCAAAAAAACGAGTACTCGAATTTCAATATTAGTTTGATCAAACGAGCCACCATTTTACGGAGGCATATTAAGGAATAAAATCTCACATCGAATAAAAATGAAAATATAGACTAATTTTTATAAGAATTTGGACGACTATCTTACTAAGATTTGACCTTGTGTCCATCTTGAATAATTTGCACATACTTGAACAGGTGGCGCCGCTGCAATGGGTAACTTGCAAGCTGGCACTGCAATTTATGAGAGTGCTTCCATTATAGCACAGGTCGTTCAATCAAATCAGGAGAGGGAAGAAAAAAGACACGCATAAATCTTGAGGACTTCAGATTGAGGAAATCAAAGGCTGAGATCAAAAGGGATGGCATTAATGGGGCTGGTTGATGCCATTAATTAACTATGCAATTCAATTCTTGATTTGGGTTCCCACGAGAATCAAGCACCTACAAAATAGTCCAAAAGTCTCAAGTAATTGAACAAAGTATTTACAGATTATGTATGTATGTATGTATGTATTAGTGTTGCATTCAAGCCTTTGGTTACTGTTATAATAAACGAGATTTTATCAGATCTTTGTACTATTTACTTTAGCCAACTAAGGATGTGTTTGATGGATATTATTGAAAAATTATATATTTTAAATAGTGATATAATGACAAATATATTATTAAAAAGTAAGAAAAAGTTATTGATGTGACGAAAAATATTATTTTATTCAAGAATGTTTGATTGAAAATAAGTTTTGAAAGAATATGTGTCAAATAGGGGCTAACATTGTTGAGCTCAAGGGCATACCCAAATATTTTATATTGTGGGATCGAAAATTAAAGTGCAATTTTTCAAAAAATAATATAATATTAATGAACATAAGTAATACACATTTTGATACTTTGAAAACTTATTATAATTATATCATTACCAATATTGTTAAATGGATTTTGCTACTTGTATAGTTTTATTTACCATTTTGTTGACGATATTGAGCTAACGGCGAGTAAATCAAATTGAATGTAGGAAGCGAGTAAATCAAATTGAATGTAGGAAGTAAATGAATTGAAATAAAATTCACATTTAATCTAGGAAGTAAAGGAAATTTAAATTTAATGCAATCCTTAATGATTCTAAAAATTTCGACGTCATATTCCATGTAAAATTTTTTAATAAAATAATGTAAATTATATTTTAAAAAATTCGTGCAAAATAATAAAGAATGATGAAATAATTGAATTTTTTTAAAGAAAAGACGAGATAGACTTCTTTGTTAAGACGTACGTTCGATGCATAAATAACTATGTTCGATATCTGTTTGGACCATGCAATATAACTACGATGTAGTTCTCGAAATGAGCTTCTAGATGAGATAGGCGATTTGTAAATTCGGATAGTATACGATCATCGACGAATTTTTAAAGTTAGCTTATTATCAAAATTCTCGAAATACTAGTTTGGAACGACCTACTTTGATTCATCGTAACTTCTATTGCGTTTGGTTGTTTCACACACCATTAACGAGCGAAATAATATGCCACGAGCACTTCGAAATTGTATTAAGAACGCAATATTTTGACTTCATTTGACATTCCGTAATGAGTGCGTCAAAGTAGGTCGTAAAGGTGTCAAAACACAATTTTCTGAAAAAAAAATAAAATGATCGATCCAACAAATGATTGTTCAAATCAAGCAAAACCAAGAATAGGAGTTCGTTAGACAACATAATATCCAAAAGAAGACCCGCAAATCAATGTCATGTGTGTAACTAAAAGTTTTGAAGATGTTTCGATAACTAGACCCATCGTCGTCGGGTCTTTGGGACGGTCACCTCCCTTGTACTCTATAAAGAGTAAGTTCATGGCGTCAATAGATTTTTTTATACCAATCGAAACTCTATCGAACTCTACTAAAATAATGTCACTAATATTGCCATCAACAAAATATATACAACGTAGAAATATAGAGAAATTATCAGAGTGGTGCTATATAGCCTTTCTAATAGATGACTATCCAGCATAAATATTGTGGGTTTGTTCAGATATGGTTGTCATTTACCATTTTCGCGTGAATGCTTGGCTGGGCTCTCTCTTTCCCATCACATGACTCATTAGTTATCAATGGCTATCTGAGGGAGCCTTTTAACTTTTTTCTGTCAAAAGAAGTCTGCTATGGAAGACTATGGCCCCCTTTAAATAGGAATTTGATTTCTTAAAACATCGTTACATACAATTAATCGAATAAGATAAATACTCTTTCGACGCATTATAAATAGCAAAAGACTCTCAAACATGCAACATACAAAGTCCGAATAGTAATTGATGATAGTATAGATCTTCGTTTGACAGTGGTGCTAGACGACTGCAATACTTAAAAAGTGGCGAGCTATATCTCCCATGTTTCCAATCTACTCATGATTTGGCTATTAAATCCACGTTTGACAATCATTAAAATAGAACTCTTTTCGTCTTTTCAAATCTATTTTCAACTACACATTCTGATAATAAAAATAATAATTGATTGACATGACTAGCTTATTTATTTACATCACAAAGTAAGAGGCGCATTACATTTTCCAAAGGTTGGCCAATTCACTCAAGAAACAACACAAACATGAAATGCATCTCTTATTCATATATTTTTTTCGAACTCATTTTCAATTATATATTTTTTCATAAAATAATGTTACACATAAATTCAAAATTGTTCTTTATTTTTTAACCACACATTTTTCAAAAAATTACTATTTCAAAATATATTTTTCTTCAAAATTTAATTTTAATGGAACCCAAATAGGAGCTAAATCTTTTTATTATTTAAAGTCCACCAATTGTTTAATTTTTATTTTTAATTTTTTATTTCCAATCTACATCAATTATGAAGAAAATGTAAGGGAGAATCCTTTGATAATCGCGAGGGACGGGGGAGTGGGGTAGGTTTGAATGGAACTTTCTACCTTGGCTTAACCCCATCATCTTGCTTTTTGTCAACTCATTCCTCATCGAAATAAACCCTCAAAATTCTTTTCTTTCTTTCGAGTCTTATTCAATTTCTTAACCTTTTCTCGGCATATATTTCAATTTGTGTTTGTATTTTGATAATTAAGAACTCATGGCCTCCAGCGGAAACAAGAACATCAACGCCAAGCTGGTTCGTAATTTTCCGATCTATTTTCCCTTTATTTTACTTTTAATTAAGGTTGTGAATGCTGTTTTGGATGCATTTCTAATCTCGATGTGTTTAAATTTTTCGAATATCAGCTGGGTCTTATTTGATTCTGTTGAATTTTCATTCATTGACCAGAAATTGTGCATTAATGAAGATTAAATATGAGAATTTGCGTTGACTATATTTCTTTATTGGTATATGCTATTGATCTTCGGATTAATTGTGGGTCTTCTTGCTTAGTTTTACAATCTTTCTTGGATCCATATCGATCACGTGATATGATGCTTTTATTGTTTTCAAAGATGAGATTTCGGATTTACTACTTTCTTGGTAGTTTGTATTAAGATCGAAGACGTGGTGTCTACTAATTAGATTGCATATCACAGTCTTTTTGATTATTTATCTTAACCTCTATTTGAAAAAGTACTCTACTTTCGGATGTTGTGAGGATTCATGAATTATGATTCTAACTTTTTTCTTTTTCTGCTTTTCTTTTTCAAGTATCATCTTTAGTATTGGACTCTAGTTCCTTACCCTAATTTTTCCTGCCATTCAGGTGCTTCTTGGAGATGTTGGAGCTGGAAAATCAAGTGTAGTGTTGCGCTTTGTAAAAGGGCAGTTTGTTGAATTTCAGGTTGGTCCTGTACTTGTTTTATGTATGGACTCCCACATCACAGAACATTCTTCTTTTGGATTTCAATACATGACCCTTCTTGTACAATATCACAGGAATCAACAATTGGTGCTGCCTTTTTCTCACAAACAGTTGCTGTAAATGACGCAACTGTAAAATTTGAGATATGGGACACGGCTGGTCAGGAGAGATACCACAGCTTAGCTCCAATGTACTATAGAGGAGCTGCGGCCGCCATTATTGTATATGACATTACAAATCAAGTAACTATTTATGCCTCCCCGCCCTTGGGACTTTGATTTTATTTCCTTACTATGCTTCTCTTTTTTAGAACCTAAATAAGCATGATACATAAGCCTAATCTACATATGTGTGTGTATTGATGCACTAATTCAATTTGTGCAACAGCGCGATTTTTCATTCATTTTATATAAAGGGGCATTTGATGGTTCTTTCTTGTCATGATTTCTTACAATGCAAATAAAGTTTTAAGTTTTTAATGTTAAAAGTCTATGCCTTGCAGGCATCCTTTGATCGGGCAAAAAAATGGGTGCAGGAGCTTCAAGCACAAGGTAAATTGCATATTTTTTTGATTGGGCAAAAAATGGCTTCAGTTGCTTTTCATTTTTACTTTCTTGGTTGTGTTCTTGTCCAACATTAGGTAATGCAGTAAGTGCTCTCTAAGCAGTTCTATTCGCAATTAACTTAATGTTCATATAATCATGAGGAACATAAGTGTTCTCATTGCTTTTACTTGATCCTTTGCTGTGGCACAAGGTAATCCAAATATGGTTATGGCTCTTGCTGGGAATAAGGCTGATTTGTTAGATGCAAGAAAGGTCGCAACGGAGGCAAGTATACTATTTTCTTCTAGAAGCCAGATTTTTTGTTTGATGCTATGTATTCACATTCATTTTTTATTTGGAA